GGGGGGGGGGGATTTCCAGTATGTCAGAAATGTGAAGGCAAGGCAAAATGGTTGGAAACTCAGAGATGATGTGTTTGTTGAACAACACAGCTAAAGGAAATGTTGCCAGAAAACAAGAAGTACTTGTGAATATGTGATTGTAGTAAAGAACAGAATGTACAAGTTCATGAAAAAACAGCAGGATTGTGACTTAATTACCTGCAATCTGTTTTGCCTTTGTTCTACAACTAAATGGGTAGAGAACAAACTGAATAGGTTTGTCCCACATCTGTTACAGGCAATAAGATGCCAGGTTAGTTAATATAGGCTTTTTGGTAGATAATAATTGTCGAGCTATGTAACGTGAGCTTGTAACTTGAGTGAGGGCAATAAGGTGATTGAACTTGGGCTTGGCCTAATCTGGTATGGGCTTGTGTTGCACATACTGACTCGCCCGCTCCAAGTTGGGAGTTGGGCTATGTGGAACGGGCGAAGGCCTCTGTGCCACTTGGTTCCTAGAGTGGAGGACACCCCGTCAGGCTGGTTTCACAGAGCAAGCGAAAACCTCCCTCTCGACAGTGGAAGGATAACAAGACAGGTGCTCCATGAGTCCACAATGGGCCAGATGGGCCCAGCCCAAAGAACAATCACTTTTTATTCTTACTAATTTTTTTTGCGAACTTTCTAATTAATTGTTTCCCATTGAACATCCATTTCAATTCCTTTTTCTTTTTTTGTTTGAATAATCTTATTTCAATTCCTTGAAAGCAAAAATGCTAAGAAGAACACAAAACTATCAAAGTAGGACTTGAACTATGCCGAATAATTAGTTTCAGGCAAGAACAAATAACCTTTCCCATATCTTAATTACCTACAAAATGTAATCATTTATTTATCTTTTTTATGCACACTGAAAAACGTAACCATATCTTCCGTAAAACTAGATTTTTTTTTTCTTCTTTTTATGCTAAGTCGCTAAGAGGCATAGACTTTCCATTTCCTAGTTAGATTTTTACACCAATAGAACAGTATCAAGATATACGAATTTAAAATTATGTTAGCATGACGAAATTCAAATGCTGTATTCAGTGACAATACAATTTGCAGATACAAAAGACATTTCCTTCATAAAAATTGAGGAAGTTGACAATCGTAAAAAGTACAATGATACATTGGACATTTGGGTAAATCTCAATCCAGGCCCTTTTCTCTATAATTTAAGCTTCAAGTAAGTTTCCGGCTTGAAAATGAGCACGAGTAAACAATTGGGCAGGTGATCTTCCACCGTTCCAATTTAATGAAGCAAATTGCTCCATCATTTCTCAATCAGAAAGAAACCAAACAAATGAGGAAAAGAAGAAAATGTCACCTATGTACACTGCTTGCTGAACATGGTGTGTGTGTTTGCAGGGTATGAGATGGTGGATGTGTCTCAACTTGCACCTGAACCTGCTTCTGATGCTCAATAAACCTGCTTATACGCTCGAGCAGCTGACCAGCTTTCCGTTTACCCCTGTCCGTGCCATTTTGTGCCATATTAAATAATGGACCCATCACACCAAGTCCCTGGGCATCTGCCAGATATTGTTGATCTCCAGAACACAAATGCACAAGTACTGCGGCAGCATTTTCCTTGTTCCTAGGGGAACCACTCCTAATTACCTCCACCAAAACTGGCACAGCTTCTGCAGCTCCAATTGCTGTTTTACCTTCAGGATGACTTGCCAGTATAGCAAGAATAGCCAATGCCTCATCCACCATCCCTCCTGGTTCAGTAAGCAACCTCATTAATGTGGGCACTACTCCTGCTCTAACTGCCCTTCCTTTGTTTCCTTGGTATATGCATAGGTTGAAGAGAGCAGTCGCTGCATCCTTCTTTCCTCGTTGGCTGCCTTCACTCAACAATGTCACAAGTGCTGGAATTGCACCGGATGAGCCAATTGTGACTTTGTTCTCATCCACCACCGACAAACTAAAAAGTGTTGCTGCTGCGTTCTCTCGTGCTTCCATGCTTCCTTTCCTAAGGACATGGACTATACCAGGTACAGCCCCAGAAAATATGATGCTTCCTTTGTTGTCTTCGCAAATGGAAAGGTTGAGGAGTGCAGTGACAGCATGTTCCTGAGTACCAGAATCAGACGTCGAGAGGAGACCAACAAGAAGGGGGATAGCACCAGCCTCAGCAATACACACACGGTTGTCAGCATTGCGCTTTGCAAGAAGGCGGAGCTCGCCTGCAGCAGACCGCTGGTCCTCGACGATGCCTGATGAGAGTTTTGAAACAAGAGTATCAACCTTGGCACGCTCTGCAGGGGAGCAAACAGAAGTGGACTTACTGGTCCTCGAACTGCCAGGTCGTTTTGGCGCTTCTATCCCATTGGCCTCACACCACTGGGCTATGAGGCTACGTAAGACATAATTGGGCGTGAGGACTGAGCCAGAAAGTGTCTGCTGTGTTTTGGGGCATGTACCATGTCCTGCTTCAAGCCATTTCTCAATGCATGCTCTTTCATAAGTCTGCAATGAAGGAGATTCACATTTCAGAGTCTGGATTCAATATGAATGGTAAGGAACTCATGTCCCTGTGTTTGCTTAGCACAAGAAAAGAACATCTATGGCTTGAGAGGAGATTTGATACTTGAAAATACACATCAACAAATAGTAGGTTATAAACCTTTAGAGTTGACTTATGGAATTGTGATTATACCAAATGGTAGGTTATAAACCTTTAGATTCACAACACCACATGGCAAGAATAAAAAGGTGATACGTGTCTTTGGTTTTAATTACCTGCCCCGTGGATACAATGACAGGATCCTTCATCAACTCAAGAGATATTGGACACCGAAAGTCATCCGGTATGACTGGAGATTTGGGACTCTCATCTGAAGAGGCCTGTTTATCAATACCTGAAGGCAGGTCCTTGTTACTCAAAGGATTGCATATATTGGGGTTATCCGTTTGCACCAAATCCTTGATCTTTTTCAGTAACATTGACATCTTTTCTATGCTCTCACCAGGATCTCCACCACTGGCAATAACCATCTCCTGCAAAGCTAGTGATTCTTGTTTGAGGTCACTTATGCTCATTAACTGTAACTTTTCAGCCAATCTTTTCAAGACAACTGGATCTGTATCTAAATCATTAGTCTTGTTGTAAATAGACAAGAGATCCTCATATAGCTCAGCATCGGATGTATCAGCACGTCCTTTGGCTCTTTTGAACTGACCAAGCACAAGCTCAACCTACACAAAAAAGTTGAAAAATATTATTTTATTGGGTTTTAAAAGAATGATTCAGTAGTTGACTTACAGCCGCAGAAATCCTTAGTGAAAATTGAAACAGATACAGATGCGTATCTTCAAAATAATAAACTTTCAACTGAACCCTTTATTTTTCCAA